CGGTTGAACCGATCAATCTATTCTCTAAGAGTCTCGTTGCTCCTCTTGACGATTGTCTCGAGGGCGGTTTCAGTTTTCGGATGTCGACGAGATGTAGTGAAGCTGCTAATGAATTGGTTTTTGAGGCTCTTCTAGGAGGTGATCGACCCAGGGGAGAGGTTCTTATACCAACCCATGGTTGTTTTCCTCAACATCATGGGGAACAACCTGCATTTAATTGGGCCTCTATTGTTATGTAGTGGAGCATCGCCTCAAACCCATCAATATGGTCGACAGGATCAACAATACCGTCGTACTCCTTCATCAGGGAAGGCTTCTCCATCCCTTTAGGAATGGAGGCCTCCATGATGGCTTGGGATAGTGGACCGTAGGGGTCATCTTCGTCGCTTCTTTCTGGGGAGCGAGAGGGGGACCGATTGTAGCGACGGTCTTTGTGTAGGTCTTGGCCACGGGAAGGGTCCCTTGGCTGAGACTTCTTTTCTTTATTTTCCTTGTTCCTTTTACATTCAGGGGATCATTGTTGTTTGCGCGGGGGAGTGTGGCCGCATTTCTTGACAGCTTTGGGTTGGATCCTCTCCAAAGCGGGACCTCGCCCATTGCAGTGAGGAGTAGGGCTTCGAGAATCATTTCATATGTGTATCTACGGGGGAGACTGGGAGAGGTCCTGGTTCCGTCGGGGAGGAGGAGTTCGAGAGTCAGGTCTCCTATACTTTCTGTGGGTCGGACGAGTCTGCTCCAGCATCATCAGTCGCTCACCCTGTGAGAAGATCATGTAATTAGTATGGTCGATTACTGCGAACAGGGCTCTGGTCGCGATGTCAGCACCTTCAGGAACGGGGATCTCCTGATACACATTGGGCTCATAATTTTGTGAAGGATGGTAGTCGTTGTTGTATGGTACCGAGCGGGTGGATGAAGAGGCGGCCAGTCTGTCCCTATGATCTTGCTCGGGACCGGCCACATTGTTGTTGTTGCCAGTGTTGTTGTCATTAACGTTATTGTTGGCATCGGTAAAATGAACATTTTGGTTATCGTTGACATCTTGGTCGTCTATGACAATCGAAAGGTTGATAAAGAGTTGCTTTAGTCTTGTGTAAAATACGAGGAAGCTAGATTCCCATAGTCGGCGCTACTGATCGTACCTGATCAGAAGGGATTGTCAAGGTCCGTGAGCTTTAATTCGAGCAGTGGTTGAATGTGAAATGGGGGAGGTGTACCTGCAAGACACTCTGATGTCAAAGTAAGGTTTAGAGTAAGTGCAAGTAAAATGTGAGAGTATGGGTGAATGAATGAATACATGAACCTCTCAAGTGAGGGGATATTTATAGCTCCCAGTACTGGGCCAAGGTCCCCATTGTTGGGCTGACCAGGCAGGCCCAAAATGGAGATTGTCAGGTCCTATGTGTGTAGTGGAGGTCAACATGTGGTCTCTAACCTGAATGGACTATTCCGAATTATCAGAAGGACGTAGATGTGGTCTTTTCGGGGTCAAGAGAACTCTGTGATATTCTGGGGGCATTGGGTGCCTTCCCTACGAGGAGGGTGCTCGCGAGCACCTCCTGAGTGTCATTGGTCCTCCTCGCTAATCATGTGGTGAGGTTGTCCCTAGAGGACATATCCTGATTGACGAGAGGAGTGAAATCACTTCCCGACATGGTCAGGGGCAGACTCTCTCCTGTTAGTTTTCTCCTACAACATAGTTGGATTAGGTCTTGTATGATGATTGGACCAAGTGCAGGCCTAGTCCAGAACATAGGGTTTGTAACCTAGTTTGGCACGGGTTCAAGATGTAGAATTCTAAGGCTTTGTCAAAGTGAATCACTCGGGTTGTGGGATGGTCACCATATTCTGACTCAGAATTCTGTAGGTAATGAATTGAGTATTGTTCTTGGAGGAAGCTTTGAAGCAACTTCAAGTTGTTGTTCTTGGTTAGGAGAAAGGTTGTAAATATGGGAGTTTAACCTTGAGTCTTAGCTAGGTATGGTCATGGAAGTGTGTCTTCCAGTTTGTTTAGAATTGTGTTGATCCAATCGCTGTCTGTGATTGATGAAGGATTGAGGAGAGTCTTATATCTAAGCGAGTCTTATATAGAAATCTAGCGAGGATAGTGATTAAGTGATAAGTTGTAAACAAGGGACTTTAGCTTTGAATTGATACTACTATTAGTGAATTTGTCCTTGGCTTGGTATGTCTCCAGAGTATGAAGGTTGTTCCGAACTAGGTTAACCATTCTGGTGTGTTATTATTGCCTTTCAGTATTATTTTTAATGTTTATACCTTGCATGTGTTATTTGTGTCAAATCAGATGTCTCGACATCCTCTTGTAACATCTGAGTTCTATCATACCAAAATTTCAGTTGAAAAGATATATAAGATAAGAGAAATATCAAATGTCGAACAAAAACTTTAAAACGATACAATTTCTCATCTTAAAAAGGGGAGAGATTGTGAATAATATCAACAAAGTCAACAAAGAAGAAAAAGTTATAGACAATGAAAGATCAAAAGTAAATGCAAAAATCGTTAAGTTAAGATTAAAACTCTTTAGGTAATTTTCTTTATCTTTAATAGATCACTTTTTTTAAATTCAGATATCACTTAAAGACTCATAAAAACTTATATAATTAAAGATTAATTTATTTTAAATTAAAAAAATGTTGAAATTATTTAAATAGACTTTAAAACTTATGTTTTCAAAAGAAAATTAAGGCAATAGTCGATTACCATATTAATTGTTCTATGAACGATTTGGAGGAAGCAAAATGATCAGAAAGCAGATAAACATCACAAATAACATTGCAAATTCATTATATCTCAAGATGGTAACTCTTTATATAACTTATCTTATTGTCTGAGCTGCGAAAACAAAAGGAAGCATCTGTAGTGAAAATAACAGTGCAAGAAAAACTAAATTGAACGTGGTGATTAGTTGCACTAGGGATGTGCACAAATATGGTAAATTGAACCACATCCTTAAACTAAATTACACTAAAAAAACTAAAATATTTAAATAGTTAATGAATTAAACCATATATTATAAACAATTTAATTTATCAAATTTAAGTTAAAAACCAATTTAAAATGTTTGATTAATTTTTTTTCAATTTTTTATAGAATAAACTATTTTTTAAAACAATATAAAAATACCTTTAGATAAAAAAATATATTAAAAATTATTTTTTTGAGAAAACAATATTTTTTGAAAATAAAAAAACGAATAAATATTATATTTAAAATAAATCCCTAAAAATAATTTTAAAAAAAGTAAAAAAAATCCCAAAAAATAATTTTAAAAAACAGCTATTTTAAAATTTATTTTTTCCTGAAAACGTTAAAAATATCTTAATTTTTTATTTAAATGTTGAAAAAAAAACGTGGTTCTAAAAGAGTTCAAAATTTATAATCAGTTTATTAACATGCTTATAAACTAGTATATGAATATGAACAAGTTTTAAAATGAATTCAGATCATTTTATTAGATAATTATTTTTTATTTCAATTATTGATTGTGGAAATGCATTAATACCTAACCATCGTCATCTCTTAAACTTAAACAATGTCTTGCATACATCTTAATTAACAGAAAATATGCCCATAAAATAAAATTTGATATCGACAATGATGTGTTTGTTTAATTCGATCCTTTAGATTTTTCTCAGAAAAGACAAGGAAGCTTTTAATGAAATGTAATAGTTTGGTGAACTTTATCCTATTACCATAAGAGTTTTCAAATTCTAATAGTCTTGACACCTTAGATATATATATATTTGGATAATTGTGTATATCTTAAGAATAATTCAAAGTCAAGCACTTTAAAGTTGCTAATGAAGTTTTCAGATCATGTTGACTTATGAAGCTTTGGTAGCTTCATTGTCTAGTCACCAAAGCAACATTAGTTTAGTATGATAACGTAACACAATATATTTTTAAAACAATTACAAATCCAATGAAAAAAGACAAATAATTCTAATACATATAAAACGATAACAATATTCTAAGCTTCTCTTAACATTATCCTCTATGGTCCTCACTTGTTTTCATTTCACATAACTTTACTTCATCCACCCACTTTTCCCAACAGTTTACACACACACAACTAAATCAAAGAAATGCACATAAAAACCTCAACAACAAAATCATCAAAATTTATTTTAATATGAGCACAAATGTGTGATTCAAGATATACTTTTAACTATCTGAATGTTCCAAGCATCCCTATCAATAAAAAGAACATAATTAGCAACTATAATTTCGTTAGGAGATCCATGCACTTGTGGGGGATTCATGTTTCCACATTTTTTAACACTAATAACAATTTTCAATAAAGAGAACCAACTTAACTAAAACCTTAATCTACCTGTAATTACAAGACCTAAAACACAAACATATGATATGTTTCCTACAAATTAATACCTAAAAAATAAACATCAAAATGATCTGTTTTTGTTCAAATTTGCCACCTAATGAAAACAACATTTTCCTAATGGAAGTTGCAACTAGCAAGTACCATTATTTTCTGTTCTGCACCTGAACAAAATATTCTACTAAAGTGTTACTAAAGCTTCTGCTTTATTCTTATACAGAAATCCCACAGACCCATGTCTATAACCAAGAAAATATCCAATCATTATTTTAACCTTATGTAAGAAAAAATTTCAATTCCATGGCAAGACATTTTCAATTTTGTTTTTCATGTAATTTAGCTCAAGTGTTAGTACTATTTTTGAATCACATGAAACATAATTCCAAGAATTTTCAAAGCAAAGGTAACATCCTACCCCACAAGAAGCTAAGGTTGAAAAGGTTACATTTAAAATTAAGTTATCTTAAAATAAAAATAAAATAGAAAAAACCAAAAGTGTTCTGTTTTCACTCTCTCTCTCTTGTTCTTTTTGCAAAAACATTATTATATAAGAACATGATTAGGTGAAAGTTTATCTTCACTCTTAGTCCTTTATTTCATAAAAAAAAATCGTGGGTTGGGATCGAAAATTAAGGAAATGGGTTCAGTTTTTGGTAATGCTCTGTTTCATGCTCTGTTTCTTACTCTGTTTCTGACTCTGTTTCAAACAAAAGGAGAGGTTTTTTATTCTTTTAGTAATGAGACAAGTTTTGAGACAAGTAACACCTTAGGAACATGTAACATTTTCAATGGAAAATGGGTTTACGACGCTTCATATCCTCTATATGACCCTTCATCTTGTCCTTTCATAGATCCACAGTTCAATTGTCAGAAACATGGTCGAAAAGACAAGCTTTATCAGAAATATAGGTGGAAGCCATTTTCTTGTAACTTGCAAAGGTACAATTTTTATCACCATTTTGTGTTGTTTTTGGTTTTGTTTTTGGTTTTAGCTAAAAGGGTTGTTGGAAAACTGTTTTTGTAGATTCAATGGTTTGAACTTTGTTAGGGGACATAAAGGGAAAAAGATTATGTTTGTTGGTGATTCTTTGAGCTTGAATCAGTTCAATTCATTGGCTTGTATGATTCATGCTTCTGTACCGAATTCTAAGGCTACATTTTATCAGAGAGATGCTATTTCTTCTGTCACATTTGAGGTTTGTTCTTTTCTTCTTCATTGTTTTGGAATCATTAGTGTTGCAAAAAGTTGATTTTTTTTTTATAATGATGTTAGGCTAATTAAGTGATTTTTCAAACTTCTGAGTAATTTCCAAAATTAAACTGAAATTTTGCTAGACTTGAATCTGATCTAGTTTTGAAATTGAAGTTTTGATCAATAAAGGGTGAATGTGATTGTGTTGGGGACATTGTCTATTGATAATTTAAGAGAGATAGTAAAAGCTTATTAAGAAGAGACGTGGAGTTTTAGTTGTCACAATTTCATAATTTATTTATGGTGAAAAAGAATAGTCATTTTTTCATTATTTTTTCAGTCACCTACCAGAAAATTTGATTGTTTTTTTTTTTTCATTAAGTTTGCTTATAATTTAAGTTTCCATAATGTTATTTATATAATGTGATCAGAATGATTGACTTTAAATTCGAAGTCAGCCGACAAAAGTCGATATTATTAATTGGACGTCTGGTGTCAATACCAAAGTTGAAACTTTGATATAATTATTTATAGTAAGCGTTAAACATTAAATTTTTTTGGTCCTTTTTTCTTCTTAGGAATATGGGCTCGAGTTATTTCTATTTCGCACGGCGTATTTGGTAGACCTTGATCATGATAGAGCTGGAAGAGTTTTGAAGCTTGACTCAATCAAGAATGGTGAAGCTTGGAGAGGAATGGATGTGTTGATCTTCAACACATGGCATTGGTGGACTCACACCGGAAACGCACAACCGTAGGATCATTCTTTCACATTCACATCATCATTATTGCAATGATTATTTGTTAACATTTTTTTGTGACATGAAATTGATGATAGGTGGGATTATATTCAAGAGAATAACAAATTGTATAAAGACATGAACCGTTTTGTTGCATTCTACAAAGGATTAACAACTTGGGCTAGATGGGTCGAAGGAAATGTTAATCCATCGAAAACCAAAGTCTTTTTCTTAGGAATTTCTCCCGTGCATTACCAGTAAGTTACTCTACGTAAATATATTTTACATTGTCAATCAATTATAATCGGGGATTTTTAAAACTATTTTTGTGGTATTAGGGGGAGAGATTGGAATGAACCGTCCAAGTCGTGCATGAGTGAGAAAGAGCCGTATTTCGGATTGAAGTATCCAGGAGGGACACCAATGGCTTGGATGGTAGTGAACAAGGTGTTGAGAAGGATGAGTAAACCAGTTTATTTCTTAGATGTGACAACATTATCACAGTACAGAAAAGATGCACACCCTGAAGGCTATAGTGGTGTTATGGCAACAGATTGTAGTCACTGGTGTCTTCCAGGACTTCCTGATACATGGAATGAGCTTCTCAATGCAGCACTTTCTCATTGACAAATTGAATTGTGTATAAGGTTCAACTTTTAGAGGAAAATTCATTGTTTTCAACTATAGGAAATATTTTATTTGAGGGTTTGGGTATTTGTAATTGGGTAATAAAAATGGTTTGATATGGTTCAATTTCTAAAATTGTAAATGTTCATTGTTTAGGCAGAAATTTGCCTTTAATTGTACTAGCAAATATTATTGAAATAGAAGTGACGTTGCAAACTAAAGCTATTATAATTTCTAAGCATCATTGGTCCGATTTGAATGCCTGTTTGCATTCCAAATTTCAAGCCATTTGCCAATTGGTGCCCAAATAATCAAGTAGTGTTTGTTGTGTCAATAAGACACGGTAAGCCTAACTATTGATCTATTATTATCATATTCTCTTTGATCAGTGTGAATTGTATCAAAATAAGTAGAGCACTCAAAATGTTTCGGACGGTTTATTGAGTGTATATTTTGATTTTTTTTTGGAATAATTAGGTATTAAAAATTTTTCTGCAAATAACCATGTTTCGGAGAAAATTACGCAAATAATCATGTTTCAGAAAATTCCATAAGGAAGGAGTCAACCCAGTTAGCGAATGCACCTTATTTTAAAGGGGAGACGCCATCTCACTTGGCGCCTATGTGTAAAAGGCTTGCCCTAAAGCCAAGTGAGATGGCGCCTTAGTGCAAAAGGCAGGTAATTTTTCGCGTTTTTTATTTTAAATGTGGTACGTTACGTAAACGATATAGGATCAAGAAAATTGACTTTTTATTTACACAATATGATTACACACATAAGATTACATAAAAAAATACAGATTAATCAGTGGTCCCCCGTAACCCGATAATGACTCCCGGTTCCGTATCCACGTCCTCGCCTTTCTCGTGTTGGGTTTCGTCGCGTTTCCTGTTGTGGCAGGGTCGATGGCCCAACAAAGTCAATGCGTTCCAGATCCATGAAATTGGTCAGATCTTCATATCTAGAAGATCCTCTTTGGTACAGTCGGTTGCCCATACCCTCAAAGTTTGGTCGTGTTGGTGGTGGGTGTGGTTCCATGGTTGGCCTGTAGCACTGATCGTCTGAGTAGGGGGTAGAAAGGAAATGGATCTTGGGGTGTTTGGTATTGAGAATGTTGGGTGCTTTGGTGATGTTGTTGTTGATGGTAAGTTGGGTCGGTTGGTTCATAATCTTCAGACAATCCCAGATCAGGGCTAAGGTTAGATGTTGAGTGGCCCATATTGGAATATGTAGAAGACTGGAATTGTGTGTGGGGTATGTGGGTGTATTGGTATTGTGATTGAAATTATGGTTGGGTGTAAGGCATATGGGGGTATTGGTACTGAGGTGGTGATTGTGCTTGATTGTGGGGCATGTGGGTGTAATCGTATTGTGGTGGTGATTGTGGTTGGCTGTTTGTGGTTCTGATTCGTCGGGAGGGTTAGTGGGAGGTTGATGTGTGTTGGGTTTGATGTTGGGGAAATGAGGGTTGTGCCCATTGTGTTCGTGGGTCAACCAAATACCTTGGATGAGACACGTGCATTTCTGGGGTACTAACCGATCTATACCAAGCTAAATAATGATCTGTGTGTCGCATATTACCATGGTTGATGAAAACTGGGAATTGCAAGACATGTCGGTGACGCCTATGCCACATCTTACACCATTCTGGAGCAAAATCTTTCCAGTTGGTAAGACCCTATTGGGCGTCGACCCTTTTGAGATGCCACGGGTACAAACAAGTTGGATCGCAGGATATCTCTTAATGCATTCCAAACTGTATCTTGACACGGTCGTTGTGGTGCATCTCCACAACATTGAACCGTATGATTGCAGTCTTTACGCTCCAAATTGCTGCATCCTCGGAGTTTGATTCATGGTCCAAACCTAAATATGGTCTCCAGACAAACTGCAGATAAAATTAAATCAGCTTAATGAAAATGTAATAAATAAATAATTTAAAAGTAGAAAAGTTGAAAGGTATGACGTACATCATCCGGGCCAAGGTGATCCAATAGATTATGGTATAGAGCGACATTAAATCTTGGATTCTTTCCGTAATCCATTCCCCTCACGCAGTACCTAAAGGATTTGAAAAATATTTTATTTTTATCATATATTTGGTGAAGAGATGAATAGTAATAAATGATATAAGTTGATGACTTACTTTGTTGCGTATGGGAAAACGAATGCGTTGTTGTTGACGGGGTATAGGGACTCCATTCTCCACCAACCCCAGGCTTAAAGTAAAAAAGTGCAGCCATAAAATGTATGTTTTTCCTTGATTGCATTTTTACACAAGGAACTGTATAGATGGGCTAAAACAGCAGAACCCCGTCTATACTTTCTAGTTTTTTCGAAGTCTCTAAGTAAATTTAAATACATAAAATTTATACTATTTCCCGTACTTTCGGGAAATAAAAAGATTCCAAATAGTATCATTATATAATTTCTAGCTTTTATTACCTTAGCTAGCTCGGAGGAATTTTCGTTCAATTTCAGAGTTACGTAATGATTTTTTAGCTCAGTAAGTAGTATACCCTGACCTCTTGCACCACCACCTTCAACCATATACCTGCCAAACAATTCTTCACACAGAGAATTGGGTTGTTGAACCGACCCGTTAACCGCCTTACCATCGACAGGGAGACCCAATAACATGTATACGTCCTCTAGTGTGACGGTACATTCACCTATTGGTAGATGAAATGTATGGGTCTCTGGTCTCCACCTTTCCAACATTGCAAGTATGAACTTTGAATCAATCGTGTAGTTAGAGATCTTTATAATGTTTCTGAAACCTGCGTATTCGAGATAGGGTACGATCAACGGGTCAGGAGCAAGGTAGTTGTGTGATCGGATTCTAAATCTTTTAGTATCCTAAGTTAAGAATGTAAAAAGTGTAAGAGTCGGTAAGATGAATAAAGCATTAATAGAAGTATAAAAAATGTATAGCTATACAAGAAACTTACAAACGCTGCAATGTTGTCCCTTGTGCCTCTGTGAGAATCGTCCATTGTGAGAAGAGCCATTATTGAAATTGTCTGAGATTATGAAAGAGTTTGAAATTGTATGAGATTATGAAAGAGTTTGTAGCAGAGCGTGAGACGATTGTGGATGCAATAGAAGTATGTGAGACTCTGTATTTATAGGCAAAATTTCATCACAGAGTAAGTGAGGTGGTTGGTGGGTGCATGCATGCATGATAAGTGTCACTCTTGCAGTGTATGTGCAGGCTTCGTGGCAGCCTTGGGGAAGGCATCTTTGCATGTATGTAACACGATTGGACGCGAAGGGAGGCACCATTGGACTTGGAAAATGAGTACAAAAATGAAAGGTGTCGCCATCCCTGTTGGTGAATAAGAGGTGGCATAGGTTGCAGTGTAGGTGCAGGCTAGGTGACAATCTTGGGGAAGGCATCTCTGCATGTATGTAACACGATTCGACGTGAAGGGAGGCGTCATTGGACTTGGAAAATGAGTACAAAAATAAAAGGTGTTTCCATCCTTGTTGGCGAATAAGAGGTGGCATGGGTTGCAGTGTAGGTGCAAGCTAGGTGACAGCCTTGGGGAAGGCATCTCTGCATGCATGTAACACGAATGGACGTGAAGGGAGGCGCCATTGGACTTGCGAATGAGTACAAAAATGAAAGGTATCGCCATCCCTGTTGGCGAATAAGAGGTGGCATGGGTTGCAGTGTAGGTGCAGGCTAGGTGACAACCTTTGGGAAGGCATCTCTGCATGCATGTAACACGATTGGACGTGAAGGGAGGCGAATTAGAGGTTGCTTACTGTTGGTTAATTCAAATTCAGTACAACCTATTTAATCTTACATTTATCAAAACACTCCTACACTTAATCACTCAAACACTAGAACATTAAAAAATTCAAGCAATTAACTCAAATACTTCAAACCTTAAATCTTCAAACCTTCAAACAGTCATACACAATGGCCTCTGCACCCCAATATGTGATCAATGCACATTTCAACAGTGAGATATACATTTGTCCCACCTCTGGGTTTTTATTTAGAGACACCGAGAACATCTGATTTTGTTTAAATAGGAAAGCCAATTTCTTGTATTTCAAAAAACGATTGGAGGCCAAACTTGGACGAGGTCCCGTGATACAAATCTTTTATCAGAATCCGGTTTTTTTGGTAACAACCAAATAATATTTTATAAGGTTGAGGTTCAAGATGACGAGGACCTTCAGAATATGTTTTCCAGTCATGAGTATTCTGGATACGACTCTATTGAGTTGTACATTATGTTGCGAGAGCCTCAGCTGTCACAAGTGGTTGATCCTCTGGAGACCGAACAAGCAGAAGTAGATGTCATTGATGAAGAAGAAGAACATGATTGTGATACGGTGGGAAGAACTGACTGTTTTTGGAATGCTGGTTTGCGTTTTGCGTTTGTTTTTGCAAAATGTCGCGGTAAGCAAGAGTCGCCACCGTCTTTTATTTTATCCAACAAGGAAAGGAAAAAAGCACAGAAAAATTCCTTTTTCGAGATATTCCCCGGGTTCGGGGGGTAGATTATAGAAAGGGAAGGTATTAGCACCCTTTCTATCTGTGGTTATCCACGGGCTCTTAGGTACTTGCTCAATTGTTTTCAAAATTTCTTTCTTTGTGCTTGTGGGTTTGAAAAGGTTTTTTATTTGAAACTTCAATTTAACTCTTGCTTCTGTCCTCAAGAGTGTATGAAGTGTTTTTGAAAACTTTGTTCGAAAAGTGTAAGTGTGAAAAGTTTGTTTTGTTTTGAAAGAGCAAGTATCTAAGAACCATCTACCTACTCGAAAAAGGAATTGTTCTACGCTAATTTCCTTTAGACAATGCTATCCTACTATTGATGAGTAGGTAGTACCTTCGTTGGAGTTTAAAAGGGTGAATTCGAATGCGGGACTTACGGTCACTAAAGCAATGTTAGGACGCCTTAGTGGTAACCCTAATGTCTTAGATTATTTGTTTGAGGTAATCATATCCGAGGCAACCGTTTTGAGGTGACTATGATCTTTT